TCTTGTTGCATGCAAATATAAGGAGATATTTTTATTTTTTAGTTACAAAGGGTAATTTGACACTCTTGTTTTTCACAAGGGAGTAAATTCAATTAGAGCTGTTTGCTATCTTTAGTAACTTAACACTTTTGTTTTTTATATGGGAGTAAATTCAATTAGAGCTGACAAGTTATCGCCTATTGTTCCCAGGATATTAACAAAAAAAAGCTTTCATTTCTGGATAGTTTTTGTCTGCAGTAGCAGTTTCTTTTTATTTGATGGGTATTTTATGACATTCTTTTCAGTCCGATAGTTTTAAAGGTAAAAAGTATCAAAACTGCTCAAATGTTCTTTGAAGACTGCATGGCACCAAGTTAAAGTGCAATTTAATTAAATCAAACTTTCAATGTGTCAGAGAGGGTTTTTTTCTCTTTCTATTTTCGGCGAAGTAGTGTTGTTGTGTTGTGTTGTGTGAAAAACGTAAACTTACGACTCGTGTAAAATGCGAAAACATCTCTTAACTTGAGTATTAACGGGCAAAAATTCCTTTTGGGGGTTGGAAGGGCTATGTGATCGGTGAGTGAGTTATGCATGTGCGCATGTCACACAAATCACCGTGTGGGTTGTATCAAAGAACTAATCAAAGAAAAAAAATAAGAAGGTATCTACATTAATCTGGAGATGTGTCAGATTACTGTAGTTTGTTCAGTCAAACATTTTATGGCTTACTATTTAGCTATCTTACCACTACCGATGTAACATCGTATGTACATCATAAATTCCTAGTTTCTTTCTTGCTGTACATCGCAACCAAAACAACTTGTCAAATTAACCAAATCATTACTGTAACTTACAGTAATGATTTGGTTAATTTGACATGAATGCTCCTATTTTCGAGACTTCAAAAAAAAATAACTCTTGCACGCCTTGCGTACCTATGTTTGTTGGACAGTACCCTTACCAGTAAAATGCAATTGATGGATACCCTTTGGATGTGGGAGTCTTTTCATTTTGTCATGCAATCCACCAGGCCTTGCCCAGACAACTATAGTAGTTGGCCCTGTTCATTATAATCTTCCCTTATTCACAAGAACCTTTTATATGCAATGTACTAGTTGAGGAAATTATCTTAGGTTCCTTTAACTTAGTTTCTTGCTTTTGAAACTCCCATTCCTGGTTGGTAGATTGGCCTGTTTTGTCTATTTAGCTCGTAGTACAACTTTACCTATTGGTTAACTTTGAAACACTGTCTTACTATAAAAGTCTGCAAAACACTTCCCAGGGAATTGTACTAGTGCCCTTTGCACAAACAAGTAGCTTGTAGCAATTATTTAGTTTACCTTCCCTCCTTTCCTTGGGATTGGAATCAGTCCTTGTGGTCCAGTGACTTAAGCCTGCCTAGCACCTTCCCCCAAGCATTTGGTATTTCTTGTGTCTTGCCATCTTGTACTTGTCTTAATCTTTTCTGATCCAGTCCCTCTGGTGCTGGTGAGATAGGAAAGGCTCTGCCACAGGGTTGTGTCTCCCTTCATTACACCACGTTGTTTGTGTATTTTGTCCCTACCATGTTTATCTGATGGTGTGACATTCTAAGCTTACTATTACATCTGGAATAGTGACAGTTATTGTTACATAATTTATTCATCCATATACCTACATTTCCTGACTTAATGATATATCTAAATTTTAATAGTATTTGCAACCCTGACTTTGGGTACCTAGCTACCATACATTTATTTAGTAATTAGAGCTACTTATGAAATGACTTTTTCTTTTGGTACTTTGTTACATAATTGTAACAATGAATGCATGTGCAATGCACCCAATCTGAGTTGATTTATCTAAGGTAATTGATCAGCCAACTCACACTTTCAGTGAAACTTTCCTTGTCCTCAAGGCGTGAAAGGTTGACAAATCAATTTGATTCATCACTGGTTGTCAAGTCATGTGAGACAGTGAAATGTCAGCTGCAAGAAAGGAGGATAGTTCAATTCAAGTTGAATTAAGCTGATTCAACAACATTTTCAACCCTCCTTCTTTACCACTGGCACTCTTTTATCAAGTGGCCTTCATATCAAATTCTGTTACAATGGGATGACTTCAAGAGAAAGGGGGGATTGTTTGAGTTGAATCCTATCATTCCCCTCTTAGCCAGTTGCAGATTTTATTCAGAATTTCTTTCAAATCAACTTCCAGTTTGACTGGATCACTTCAATTGAGATGAGTCACATAAGGTTATCGCAAATTGATTTTTGGTAAGTTGAATCAACAACAACTGTACACAACTCAATTTGGGTATATTGGATAACCCTCACAAATTGTAGCGTTTCCTGATAAGCAGTGTTGGCTGTTAGATCATTGTGTCTTAGCCTTGTCCCCTTTTACTAAAATTTGTAGCCATTCCTCCAACAGTGCTACCATTAGATGATAGAAAGGTTCCTTGCACTAACACACAAACAGCCATGGTGAGTTATCCAGTGTGAAGATTAGAAATCATCATATTCGTTGTTCAGAAATCAGATGGCATGTTCCTTCATTCAAGTAATTTTTGAGTTAAAAGTAGTGCCTTCCAAAGGATTACCTTGTCCCAAATAACCAGAATTTAGGATGAAAAAATCACCGTGACTAGCATGTTGTTTGGTCACCTTATTGTTGTCATCTGGGCCCCTATCTGTCATTATCTGGAAAAATGTCTTAGAGGTGTTGTTCTGTCAATATTGTGCCAAGTAAATGTTCAGGATTTTTTGAATGAAGTGATTTAAGTTTCCAGGAAAACAGTGTACACCATGGGCACTGGTATAGGTATGTTAAAAATCCTAAATTTGATGTGGAGACAAGTAACATAAAGTTGATGGGAATTACATCTCAAACAATTTACTGTTCTTATTTTAGCCCAACATGAAATCTGTAAGTGTGGCTCCAGTGCAATCCTCCACAAACAGTGTTGACAATGTGGACAGCATGTCTCCTGATCAAGTTTTAAAAGTATCTCCCACTGTGGAACCTGGACCAAGTGAGATGTACCCCTCTGCTCCTTCAAAATCCGATCACAACGATGTAGTTAAAGGTGAAAACAAATAAATTGTTTGGAAATAGTATACCTACATTTGAATAGCAGTTGTATTGTTATATCGTAATAATTTGTTCATGTTATGTTTTCACGTGTATGGTTAGCCTGTGAATAGGCTCCTGGCGAAGACAAAAAAAAATTGGCAAGTGAAGAGAGCCAACAAGTGCGAAACTGAGGAATTCGGAGAGCGAAGCAATTGGGGTGGGACGGGGAACCTGTAGAATTTGTTTTTGATGTGCCTATCTACCCTTGGTGATTAGCCTGTAACAAATCAGTCATTGAGGTAATTAGGCCTGTCAAGAAGCTACATTTCTGTACTTGTAAACAGCTCTAATCAAACAACTGGGCCCAGCATCATAAATATAGAGTGCAAGTTAGTAACATGTTGACATAATATTTCAAACTTTGTCCCACCAGAACCAATGCTTAGAGAGCATAACACATATTTTGCAATACTGAACTGAGCCTCAACAAATTATAAGCACATGGGAAATGATAGAGGTGTCAAACTCTGCGAAGCATTAGGCAGACAACATCAAATATTTATCTCAAAGATGTGAACAATCCACCATTTAACCAATCAGATCATGATACCAGATGGGACAGCATGGAACGGCAACATCAATAGAATGTCTACAGGCTCTCTCGCTTTGTTCAGGCTCACCAGGAGCCTGTTTGCAGGCTATGTATGGTTAGCTTGGGTGTTGATCCTTTAGGCTGGAATTTGTTCAATTTTTGAAGCATGATATTACCAAGAGTGATCCTGCCTACCTCCTCCCCCCCTCCTCACTGCAGCCTGGATGGGATGCTAGTCAATTACAGGGTTACCCTCAAAGCAGTAAACCATTCCTATGAGTGGAGAGAGGTCCTGGAGCTGAGTGAAGTGTCTTACTCAAGAGCACAATGCAAAGACCTTGGATCATGTTCAGTGTGGTGTCCATTATTATCCACTAGGTTACTTTACATCCCACGAGAACAAACTTGAGAGCAATGTTTTTCTGTTTGCTTTCAGATTTGAAAGAATTCCACTCAAACTTCATGGTAATGATATATTTGTTCTTGATTACAAAAGTGTAATTCAATTGCAGGCTTTGCTGCAATTTTGTAAAAAATGGTTCTGTTTTATTAATTTCCAAGGATTATTGACATTGTTTTCATGTAGCACAACATTTTCAGGACTACTTGTAGCGTAAAAAGATGTTTGGGAAAGAGTGAAGAGATATAATCATTGAAAGACAACAATTAAGCAAGGACATTCTATTCATTCCTTACATGAAAATAGTTACAGTTATGTTTTATCAATATGTAAAACAATAATATGCTTCATTTAGAATGTTGCCTCTTTGATTTGATGTACAGCTTAGCGAAAAACCTACAAAGAAGACTAAAGATGTCCAGCCACAATCAGCTGACAAAGTTGATGCAACAGCAGCTAAGACAGCAGCCTCACCCATTCCTGGTATGGATACCGGCATGCTGAAGGCCAAAATTGTTTTCAGGTTAATTAGTTTTTACCTGATGATGGTACACTCATAATCACAGAAAACAATTTTAATTTGTGAAAATCGCTTTCATGTGATTATGACAATGATTTATTCAGGTTGAAACAGATTAACCTGAAAAACAATCTGACCCACCACACATTGTTTAAAAAATGGCATGAAATGGTCTGCAGTAGTAAAGAGTGTGAAGTATAAACCATTGCAATAATTGAACTTTGCAACAAAACTTCGTTAAACAGAGAACTAAAGAAAATTAAAGAAATCATCAATTTACATATAACTGTCTTGTTTATTACTCTGCTATTTTTTTCTTACAAGGGTTAAAAAGCATTCAAAATGTGAAACAGTTTTGCACATGGTGATCCATTTTCAAAACTAAAAAATTAAATTGTTGTGGAATAATAAATATGTTATTTTGAAGGGCTTATGAATATTATTCACCAACGTTTTATACAGTTTCAGTCTACCGCTTTATACTAAATGTAAACTGATGTTACAAAATTCCCCCAAAATTGGGCACTGATAAAAAAAAGTCTGGTAATCGTTTAGGAGAGTGTATATGAGAGTGAAAGTTTAAAAATATAAAACTGAGGGAGACATCATAAACACAACGTCAGATGCTAAGAATGTTTGTTTTTGACTATTTTAGAAACAATACCTCTAGCCTCTGATGTGCCAAAAACAGATGAAAAAAAGAGTCCCAAGACTGTTGAGCCAGCTGACAGGTACTTTCCCTCTAGCTCATTGGCATTATTTTGATACTTGCAATTTGCAAGCGAAGAATGTTCAAGAAAATGCTAGTCTTGTTCAAGAGTAACAGGAAATTAAAAAAGAATTGCTGCTTATTTGAAAGGCTTTTCTAAGTAAAGAAGAATGGCATTTTCCTTTTTGGAATATCCTTTTTTATTTTAGAGATATTTACGTTTTTGTATTATGCAAATGAGGAAAGTGATGATGTCATAGGTGGTACGACTAAAACAATCGAGAATCTCTCTAGAAATATTAAAGCAGTGTTCTTTAAACTTGGCACTAGAAATGTACATCACAAAAAAAAACAATGATACCAGTCGTGCTGTTGCCATGACAACAGTTACGCCGCTGGTCCTGTTTTAATTAAGACTAAAATTCCCAGATTTTATCTTAAACAAGGGTCATCCACTCCCAACAATCTAATGGGGAGAGTTAAGACAATATGGGAACCATGCGTGTTCCGAGCAAGACCCTCTGTCCCACTTTAATAAGGTTGCAAATGGGGATATTTAGTTTTTCAGAGAAAGAGACTGGACCCAAGAGTGTTGCCATGGCAACAACATAGTATGTAGCGTTCTGTTTCTTTTGTGATGTACATTTCTGGTGCCAAGTTTGAAGAACACTGCTCCAACATTTCTGGAGATATTCTTAATTCAGTATTTTATTGTTTAAGTGGAACTATTTATGACGTCATCACTTTCCTCATTTGCATAATACAAAAACGTGAATATCTCTAAAACGAAAAAAGATATTCCAAAAAGGAAAACGCCGTTGGAAAAGCCTTTCAAATAAGCCGCAATCATTGTTTTACTTCATAGGCACATTAAGTACGGAATGAAATTGCATTTAAGACATGAAAGTTATAAAAGGCCTCATTTATTTATCACAGGAAAACAATATAATTTGCCCAAACGTTTTATGGATAACAGAAATTACTGACAGACATTACCATGACATTTATAAGATATGCTTCACATCACCAGAATGTGACAGATAAGAATAGTTATGTTGTTTTGCTGTTTTGTAGCAATGCCACTTTCAATTTCTTGACGTTTGTTTTGCAGCATTTTATCCAAATCCAAACTGAATCCATTAGCAAAGGAATTTAAATTTACTCCTAAATCCCAGGTGAGTTAGGAGACCTGAGCGTTATTTTCTAGTGATAGTCTATTTGTTCCAGGAGTGATCAGAATCGAATTTCTCCTTACGTTGGTAATACATGGTCAAGCAGACAAGTGATGAGAAGGAACAAAATGAGAATGGAACTTGACTAATGAGGAAGAATTCCTATTCCAGATTTGTTCATGACTGTTCTCTTCATTGGAAGGGAATTGCATCAGGTGTCAATTTTAAACTTAAGCTTGCACTTGTCAAATACAAAAGTTGATAACAGGGTTCAAAAGACTCAATCGAAGATATTTACCTGTCATTGTACTTAACTTAAGCTGGGCATTTGTTAATGAAGATTTCAATGTTGTTTGTGTTCAGAAACCTTCCCCATCCCCCCAGCCACAGTTTGTCAATGTGGTTGCGGCGTCACCCTTTTCACCCACGTCAGTCAGGGCTCCTTTAGGTGCAAGCCCTTTTCCACATCCACAACAGGTGATGATGGTATCACCACAACAGTTTAATGTGTACAGAGGGAAACAGCCGTTCAACAAGCGTAAGTTCCGTACAAGCAAAATTTATTTCTTTTTGACATTGAAACATTTTGTCGCATTAAACTACCAAGACATGACAAATGGTACCGTTGTCCTTACAGCTGCTAGAGGTCAGTCATATGGTGGTCGTGAACAAGGAGAATCACCACCTTTCATTTCAGCAGCTGCTGCAACTGGCAGCCCAATTATAGCACCAGGAGTGGGCACGTTTCCTCCTCAACAGGTGTACCAAATTCCATCTCATCAGCCAGTTGCTTATGTGCAGTCACCTGCAGGAATGGTGCCGTCGCCACAGCAGATGATGCAACAGGTTGGCAGCATGTTCTCTCTATATTTCTAATACAAATGATCTTTGAAAATTCTTTCAAATTTGGATAAGTCTTGAGGCGCATGCAATTTGAAAGAATTACTAGATATCACAGGTATTGTAAATCCTTAATTGCTTTCTTCCAATTCGTCATTTATTATATGACTGGGAACATTACGAACGCGGGCGCGTTAATTTGCATTGCACTACAAAAAACTAATGTTAAATTTGTTTGTTCTCGGCAAATGATTATGAAGTTATTTTCTCAGCCATACAATACACAGACTAACTCAGCTTTACAAACTCTCCGTGGTGGTTAATTTACCTTCATCAAATTCATGTTGATAAATAGCTATGTGTTACATCCATTACTTGTCGTTTTAAGCGTGTGTCCTGAGTCCCATTGCTGACATATTGCTACTAAATACTCCTGTGTTATTTTCCAGTATGTAGTACCCACAGGACCTACAAGGTTTATTGCTCCGGTATGTAACAGTCTTGAGCCTGTCAAATGTAGTAGATTAGATCAGGCACATGAATTACATTTCAGGTCCAGTAGTTAAGGTTAACTTCTGTGTGAGTCAACAAGATTAAAGTGATTATCACTTGCCATTATACTAACTTAAGATTTCTTGATTTCTTCCAGGTGTCATCACCAGCAGGTGGTGCTGCTGCTGTGCCAATGTCACAGGCATACCAGGATGGTTCACCTGTGCCAGTGTATGGTTAGTATTTGGAAGAAGCTTGTGACTGTCTGTAACTGTCACCACAGTTCATTGTAACGTGTTTGTTTGTTGTTCCTACAGTTACTGGTAACATGGCAGCAATGCAAAGTGCTGGCACTCCTCAGGGTCAACCTCAGCCCAGCCCATCTCAACAGGGTCAGTTTATCTTCACACCTGTTCCACAGATGCCAGGCCAGCCTCAGGCTACTGGGCCTCATCAGGGACAAGTTACTCCTGGCCAATTTGGTCAATCGCCGCTTGTTTACATCCCTCAAGTGACACCTAATGCCAGTGCACCGACCTCAGCTTCATCTTCTGTGTCTTACATGCATGGTAAGTAGACTCCAATAACTTGACAGAATAGCCCGTTCTGGAGGACGTTTTATTTAAGAAGAAAACGCCTATACCATTCGTGAATTACCCGTCTTCCCTGCAAGCTGTAAGAGTGAAATTTAGAATGAGTCAGAGGACTTGAAACCTAACATGTTGCGTTGAGAGTGAAATGTTTGTTGTTTGATAGGAGCCTTCCATGGTGACAGGATACAGTGAAAACACGTGTCTACGGAATATGCCGCCTGCTGTCGTTACTTACACTGTGTTTGTGAAGAGTTTTACAGATGCCAACAATAGAGAGAGGAGTGAGATTACTTCCTATCCCTCCCCTTCCTGTTGTATTTAAAAATTGCAGAAGCAAATAAAGTATTTGTTGGTTTAAATTTTGATTCAAAGTGTGGGGTTCTCTATTTATCTATCTATCTATCCATCCATCCATCCATTCATCCATTCATCCATCCATTCATCTATCCATCCATCCCATCCATCCATTCATCCATCCATCCCATCCATCCATTCATCCATCCATCCATCCCATCCATCCATTCATCCATCCCATCCATTCATCCATCCATCCCATCCATCCATCCCATCCATCCATCCATTCATCCATTGATCCATCCATTCATCTATCCATCCATCCCATCCATTCATCCGATCCATCCATCCCATCCATTCATCCATCCATCCCATCCATCCATTTATCCATTCATCCATCCCATCCATCCATTCATCCATCCATCGATCCCATTCATCCATTCATCCATCCATCCCATCCATCCCATCCCATCCCATCCATCTATCTATCTATCTATCTAATATCTATCTATCTATCTATTCATTTGTTTTGTTTTATTTTATTTATTTATTTATTTATTNCCAATATCCAAGCCAGAGCCTCATGTATAAAAATATTAAAAATTATTATGCGCAAGTCATATTTTCTCCAAACTCACATTTTTATTCAGAGATTCTTAAGGCCATTGAAAACAACTACAATCCAACCTACACTAACAGCCATCTCTCTACAACGGCCTCCTCTCTGCAACGGCCACTTTTTTGGTCCCGGCGGACGGTCCATCTTTTTTAACCTCTCTACAACGGCCACCTTGCCACAACGGCGAGAGCCACTAAAACGCTTCCCGACTGCCCAAATAACTTCTTCACAACGGCCAGTTAATCAAAAACTGACGAACGCTGTCAACAAAACCCCATTTTTTATTGGACATGGTCACGAAACTTGATCCAAACCGATCTCTATTTCTGTCTGGTTTCTGTCTTATTGATATATTTTGATTGTGTTACGTATTTGTACGTTACACTGAACATTTTTTTTAAGATAAAAATGTTGAATCCCAAGAAAATATTGGTGTCATACTCCACCCCTACTGATAACGCGCCATAAAGGCCACTTTCCTCTGTCCCCAAGGTGGCCGTTGTAGAAAGTTTCGACTTTATTACCGTTAATAAAAAAACACACCCTTCCTATTCAACTTTAAAATACAGGTATATTGTTCGTGCTTTTGGTATAGAAATGCATCATGGACATTACTGGGATGGAAAAAGAAGGCCTATTCTTGGTTTTCATGTGACGTAGTCATATTCCAAAATTAGAAATTATCCTTCCTTCTGAGGTTTTAGTTT